GACTGGCTGGCTCTGCTGCACTACACTGATCATAAGTAATTCTAAACATAGCAGTAAAACTCACAGGCCTGCAGAACTACCTAGATTTTTATATTAGGGAAAGGATGCTTTTATGGCATGATGTAATGTAAACTACTATCACAAAACTTTGATTCAGTCAAGACTATTAAAGCAGCCAGTAGTGAGACTGTTCACATTTTTCATTTTTTGACAGAACTGAAACACTAAGAAATAAGAACTTCTGTAAAGTTTTAGATACAATTTTCTAAAATCCTTCTATTCAGCATACTTAAGCCACCAATTCTAGATCCCTAATGTTAAGATGATTACATCCTTAGAAAACAGCAGCGGCCTCAGAGCCTGTGTGACCTCTACACAGCACAGGACTACAAGGACAGTCTCACTAACCATCTGCACAGCTTAAAATAGCCATTCACCAAAATGGATTTTTTTTAATTTAAGCAATAAACAATTCTGCCAATAAACATTTTGAAAAGGAGATCTTATTAAGTTAAATGCAAACATGCCAGTTTTATCTACAGATCTGGGGTGCTGACGATCACTCCATCTCACAAGCACCTCTGATGGAACACCACTACCCCCTTGTGGATTCTAAACAAAAATTCTTATCTTGAATCTAGTTTTGAAATGTTCTATTCTACTGAACTTCTAAACTTTAGATTTTCTTCCCTAGACACTGCTATTTTATCTCAAGTACTCTCTAAAAAGAAGTGGGGGGAACACATTTTAAGATCACCAAGGCCATTAACAACTTTGTGGTACAAACAGCTAGACACTCCACTGTTACATTTCCCATAACCACCTTAAGGTTGTCTTAATCATTCATTGCTAATTCTATCACTCTCATAGCTTTGTGCTTCCTATGATTTCAAACTTCATACTAATTTCTTATCATTTCCAAAGGGTTTGGTATCCAACTGCCTCAAAAACCAAGGGGTAACAGACTCTTCAGAAAGAGACTAAAAACCAAGTCTAAATTTACAAAGATAGAAATTCCTTACTTAACTAGCATGCCTTCAGAAATAATTCTTGGCAGTCTCAACCAACCCTGATAAAAAGGAAACTATAATACATTTTTTAAAGATAGAAACAAGGGTCGTGGGTTGTTTTTCAGTTGAAAGAGCACCTCCAAACCAAACATGGAAGCACGGGTCTGCAACCCTAGAACCTGGTTGGCAAATAGAAGTTCAAGGTCATCCTTAACTACACAGTGTACTCAAGGCCAGCCTGGGCTACCTGAGACTATTGGGGGTGGGGGGCAAAGATGATGATGAAGAGTGCATCTGGAAGAATCTGCACATAGCTCTGACATCACACATAAACCAATCTCACCGATGCAGATAAAATAGGCTGACATACCTGGTTTATCCATCCTGACAGACGATAGGTTTTTCAACAGTGTGCAGTGACATGGACAAAGAGTCAAGATGGCCTACCCACACTGTCATGAAAATCTCCACCTCATTCTCAAACATATGCAGAACTCATAAGAGAACACCGTAATTAACCGTTGCCTTTCCAACCGTTAGGTGGGAATAAAGAGGAAAAAATAAGGCGCTTGGCAGGTGTTATCTTATGGTGACCGATAAGGAAAAACGGAGAGACTGCACAGTCTGCTAGAGAGGATGACAATGACATTTAAAATACATACCCAAAGGTATCAATTGTGCTCCAGCCCAAAGCTAATGGCTAAACACAGCAGGAGCAATCAAAACTAGTCTTCTGTATGGTCTGCTTTGTTTAGGGTTATTTTGTTACTGGTACTGTTTCTAGATGTTTCTGTGGGGGACAGGAGTAAAGAGAGGTGTTTTGGTTGACATGCTGAAGTAAAATGTAACATCAGGTACTTTGTTTCCAAGCACTGCCAAGCTTGGCATTTCTTTCAAGGCAGGACACAGTGCATTCAAAGCTACCCTGCAGAAAGCAGAGGGAAGACGACAGTCCAGGGTAGCACACCTCCTTCAAAGTCAGCCTGTGCTAACAGCTTCAGGAAGGAGCCTAGCTAAATCTAAAGGGGGAAAAAAATGACTAAACTTTTCCAAATGAGCAAAAGACTCATGTACAAGAAAACATGCAACTATATCAAAAGTGAGCAGAACACAGGGAAGAATACACAAGAGCCATTAAAAGGTCCTTCCATCTTATGTTATGCCAATCATTTGAAAAATAAAGAACACTGGGGATGGGAGGACCAATGTGCCTGGCTGATCCTCTCCACCATGGGGTGCATAGTATTTCTTTTTAAGTCAAGAATGAGGTTTTAAAATGCTCAATAAGCATTACCAGTCTTTACAGGAGACCCGAGCTAGCAATGATGCTCAAAACAGAGAAAGGGAACCTGGAAATAGTGTCTCAACATCTTGACGGGGAACATTTACTATGGAAAACAGAACAAAGTATCAGACTATTGCTCAATGTCTACACACTTCTCATACATGATAAATACTACAGGTGGCAGACCATCTCCACCTTCTAATGACAATGCTAACAACCATGAGATAACTACACCCATGATGGGCAGCCTTGACCCTAAACCTGAACAGAAGGGAGGGAGATAAGAGGGGAAAGAGGGAGGAAGGGAGGAAGGGGGGAGGGAGGGGGAGGGGAGGCAGGTGCCCCTTCCTAAAGCAAGGTGGACAAAGAAATAGAACTAAAACACCTCTACCCTCTCACCCCATATATCAGACTGCACCATAGCACAAGGTGAGGCAGAGGAGTTCTAAGAGAGGGTCTCACACTTTCTGCAAACAAAATCTCCCAAAGACTAGTATAGTTATTAACTGTACCCAAAGAATTGTAGTGCAATCAAACCAGAAAGAAGTCAGATAAATTCAGCAAAAACAAATTCCCAGAATCCTACATGGGGAAGCTCAGAAATCTGAAGGACATCATTTCATTTGGACTCCGATTATAAATACCACTGAACCCTTGCTGGGCCTGAGATCCCATACCACCCCCTTATCCTACAGGTGGAGAAGAGGAAAAGGAGGTAGATCCTGAGTTGCCCAGTACAACAAACAGTATAATGATTCTGTAAGATACACAATATTGAAGATGACCCATGCAATGCAAAAGAGACACACATTATTACCTATCACCACAAAAGCATCGGTGGACAAAGAGTATTGCCACCCAAAGACTGTAAGGGTTGCCACAGGAGTAAAAGCTACAGAACTGGCTTCTACAGCCGCTGAAGAAAAAAGAGGAAAAGAATGAGCACACTACAGATTACCTTTGATCAATGTCAACATCGTGAATACCTCACCTGCACCCAAAAAGAATCAGGCTTTACGAAAAAAAGCAAAGAAAGATACAAATCACAGTACTACTAAATGACATGAAGAACGGAAAGTCACATAAGCCAGTAACAGTATCGGGCTCTGGCCTTGGGGTGGTGGCCACACTTAGGCATTGGATTTAGATAACTGAACAGCAAAGCAGAGTGATGGCTCATTCAGTGCCTAACCCATGACAGCATGAACCAAGGAGATCATCAGAAGAAAACAATGTTTTTCTAGAAGTTCTTCATGTGAAAATGGTCTGTTATTGTATGAATGCTATGTTCCATGCATGACACCTAGTATGCAGTGCTGCTGTTCTGATGCATACTCCAGTCACATGTCTACCTAAAAGTTACTCTAGTCACATTAAGAGGGACTGTACTTTCTTACACGTGCACACACACACACAAACACACACCCCACAGTACACCCTCCACCCTCTTCACCACTCCCGCTCCTCCAGGAAGGAAGAAGCTCCACAAGATAGCACACTACTCAAGCATTTTTGTAAGATTACAATACACAAAAGTTAAAATTCAGAAGAAGTTTATAAGACTTTATTTAAAGTCAAGTACAGACAGTCTGACATGTCATTTGTACAAAAGGCTAACAAGACCCACTGTGGTCTTGGGCAAAGTCACTGAAGCCCACAGGAAAGGGCTCCAGAGTGAACAGCTGAGTAACCACAGGCAGGACAATGACTTCAGATGAGCAGACACTAAGACACAACCAAAGACTCAATAGGTACAACTGTGGGAGGCCAAGAACATGAGAACCCTCTTCTATTACCGCTCCCACAAGGTGCAAAGGAGTGTTCTCCACGCCGCCACGAACAGGACATAAGGAATGGGCCGAAGTAATGAGCAGAGTGCAGGGAATGGGCCCAAGAGTGTCAACCTCAAGATCAGAAAGAATTCAAATCCTACTGACACACTAACACCTAGTGAACAGAGAGAGGTAAACTGTTCCTTCCTCAATTGAGAATGGATCATTTTAGGGGGAAAAACTAAAACCACCAGGGCCTGGAAACTAAAGCAACAGAAAATGGGGCTGAGGTGGGCATGGCACCCCCTGCTTGTGATTCCAGCATTCAGAAGGCTAAAGCAGGAGGACTGATCCCCAAATTCAAGACCAAGCTGTTCTATACAGCAAACTCTAGGCTAGCCTGAGCTACAAACATGACCTGTCTCAAAAAGACAAAATATTAAAAATTCTGATAAAGTAAAAAGAATGAAAATCTGGCTAAGTATGACATAAGCTCTCTCTAAGAGCATGAGTGATGCTACTGTCTCAGAAAGGGAAAGCTGATCCAATCTGACCTTGAGAAGTTGCCGTGAACATGTCAACATGCAGAATCCGCTCAAGAGTGAGATGAAGAAACCAAACATTTCCCAGAAACAGGGCAAGTCAGGTCTTCAAGGAGACAAGAGAAAAAGATCATTTGTCTTTTCCCAAAACGCTGGTGACTTAGAGGGAGGTGGAAGGGAAAATTATGTTTGGACAAAAAGATGCAAAGAAAAACATCAAAGTAGTTAAGAAAACCAGGATAACCTGACTGACTACAAGAGGCAACCCTGCACAAGGCAGGAGGAAAGAACTGATTCCTAACCATCCTGAGCCCAGCCACCAAGTAAGCTCACTCAACCTAAGCCTAACTTGAGACACTCAGGCTCCTCTGGTGGACCTTCATTACCTCACCTTCACAGTCCATGTGTGGGGCACTCTGCTGGACAGCGACAACTCCCAAAGGTAGTTGGTGGCCTGGAGAAGGGCACAGAAGAGCCAGCACCAGAAACAAGACGATTCTCCTGGGTCTACGCCAACACACAGCAGGTATTCAAGTCTTCATTTTTCCAAGGCTCACTAACACCTCTAGAAACAAACAAGCCCCCAAGCCAACAAGAGGCACATGGAAAAAAAAAAAACAAAAAACAGCCTAAATGGAAGACACACAGACACACACAGGAAAATCAGACCAAATTCTGGCGGTGGGTACTATGCTGAAAAGCAAAAACGAGAGCCGACTGAGACATCTCCTTACTTGGGAAATCAAGGTGGAGGGCTCCCTTGCTAGGAAAAGTGCTTCAAGAGTTCAAGAGTACACACACAGATGCACAAGCACACGTGCACACACGCACAGAGCTGGATGGAAGGTGAGGCTCCACACTAAGCCTGTCAAAAAGGAAGACTTCACTGCTGAGTGAAAATGCAAGACACATGGCAGTGAGGAGCTGAGCTAGAGCTGCTGGGCTCTCAACACTCACCAGCCCCAGAGAGAGGAAGCTGGAAAAACCTGCCACCTTCCCAGGAAGTGGCAAGCGCTTTTCCAAAGGTACCTTCTCCTAATTTCACGGAGTCTCTCACTTCATTGGCTGAAATACAACAGGGACACACTTGAGGACATCAGCTCCCAGTTCTATCAGAGAGAAGCAGCTTCTTCTTGGTTTCCTATTCTTTTCCCAAAACACAGGAAACCTTTCTCCTACACTGCAGTTTAAAAAAAAAAAAAAAAAAATCGAGATACGAACTTTCACTCCTCACAGAAAGCCGAGAATACTGTCCCTGGATTCCAAATGGAAAAGTCTGGGCACTCATCAGCAAGCACTCCACACAGGGGAGATGTGGTGAACACTCTGGGTGGCATTCTGCTTATTCAGTACAACACAAATGCCAAATGAAGGAGTGGTGAGAAACGGCGGTCACCAACGGTACCTCAGACTCTTCTAAGTCTGAACTCACCAATAACGTAATGGTTATGTATACATAAATCCCACACACTCTGAGCAGAGAGCTGTCATCCGACCCTTCTCACTTCGTATACAGGAGAGTAGCTTGTGTGTGTCAACAGTTGTGTGGAGCGTCACAATTTCTGTGATGCAGTTTAAAATAAGAACCACAAAAAAAAAAAAAGATAGATAGATAGATAGATAGATAGATAGATGGATGGATGGATGGATGGATGAAAGGCACAAGATCCAAAGAAACGTTTTGATCCCACTACAGATATACCAGGGCAAAGGAAGGTTCCGGTGCAACAAGGAGCACACAAGCTACCTCTTCTCAAATGGCATGTGGGCGACAAGGGTGTCTACGCTCCCTATTCTGGATAGAAAGGCATATGGCTTCTCCTTACCCAGCCAACATGAATACAATTTGAGAAAATTAGAAAAAGTCAAGGTAACAGGCTCACTAAATATGGCTGACTGGGAAACAGAAGCCATAAGGAGGATATGAGTTCTCTCTCTCTCAGAAAAAAAAAAAAAAAAAAAGATTGGGAAGTTTATTTCCAAGAAAGATGCAAAGACTTCATGACTTCCTGAGAGTGGGACGATTCTTACTGCTCGGGAAGACAATCATCAGAACGCAAAATTCAAGGGCACATGACCCCTTTCCCAGTGGGCTGATGTTAATCGGCGAAGGGTGCCCCCTAAGATCCAAAAGTGAACGGGAAGCAATAGAGAGGAGTAATTCTCAGCTCTCAAGTGGTGGACACATCGGAAGCCCTGCCTGCCCTACATCTTACTGGGGCGCCCACCCTGGCCCAGACAGGGAACTCCAAGGAGAGAGACAGACAGCTGAGGAGAGGAGCACTGGAGCGTCCGGTTTTCCCCACGAGGAAGAGGGCAACTCGAAGGGTATTGGGGAAATGAGCTCACCCTACCCCAGGAAAGTGTGCGGAGAGTGTAGACCTGGGAAAAGTGTCTGCCTTCCTATTTAGAAATGACTTCAGAGCTGCACAGGGCCCCGCGAGCCACTGGGCGAGCAGAGAAGGAAGAGGAGCACGCAGAGCCCGAGTCCCCTTGTCCTGGCGGAAAAGGGTAAAGCCAGCGTGCCGAGGCTCCGCGGCCCCACGCGGGTCCCCGGGAAAGGGGGCCAGGCTCCCACGGGGCCCTCCGTGCTCGGCGGGGATCGGGGTCACGGAAGGTAAAGGGCAAGGCAGCGTGGAGACCCCACCCTCTCGGCAG